ATGGATGGATGGATGGATGGATGGATGGATGGATGGATAGATGGAGGGATGAATGGATCGACAATAATTTGTGTACAGAAGTAATATATTGTCATGACATTGTCAATCCCTTGTCAGAATGCTATGATTGTTTCAAGCAATTAGAGCGATCCTTAGTCGAAACTCTTAAATTCCGGACCAACAGATATAGTATAACACTCAACAAATCTGAGTCAAAAGTACTGTCTCTGCTTAAAAATATCTGCAAATGGTCAAACCCTCGCCATCTCTTGGTTAATCCATGATTTAGAGATATATTATATAAAACCATACTACCATAAGGCTTTTTTGCATTTTTAGATATTCTTCATAAATGTTTACGATTTTTTTTATTCAGCTGTAACACCTGCCATCACACGTCAACCATCACGCACCTGTTTACTTAAGTTTGTTTTAACTTATCAAATTGTGAAAATGATATATTTTGAAGTTTGTATTCTATAACACAGAAGATAATTATAACCATCTTGTTCCATAATATATTGTTTTGGATGAGTTTACCAGAACTCTTAATTGTTAATCTCAAATATAATGGCAAGCAAGCCCTAACGTGTTATTTTATAATAACAATCACTATAACTTTAGCACTCAACATTGTATATTAAAATACTTGACAAGCTAACATATATATGAGTTGGTAATATGTTTTTTAAATAGAAAAGCTTTTTGCATTCTAGTTTTATTCTTGAATAGCTTTCATACATAATTCAAAGCAAAGTAAATTATGCCTAAATTCATTCATAGCAAACGGATAAACTTCAAAAGCCATGAAAATCAGTAAAGAAAATTTATCACGGCTGTTAATTTTACTATGAGTATAAAAGACATCACTGTCATCATTCGGTCGTCTCAATTATCTGCTCACATCTTTTAAAATTACTGAATGATTATTTTTATTATCTAGAGGATTCTAGATGAGGGAGGGAGGGAGGGAGGGACGAACGAACGAAGGAAATAATGAAATAATGGAAAGTTCGAAGAGTAAAGAAAAAGAGAGATAAAAGAAAGGAGAGAATGCGTCAACAACATGCTGAAAGACAAAAATAAAGCAGGGTCAACTTATAGCTAAGTTACTTCGTACTCTAATCGAAAACAGTCGGAGTTAGATCGGTGTTAGACATTAGAGAGTTTTAGATTTACGTTCACGGCGAACGTGAAACGTCAGTTGACCAGTAAAAAATTCTTTTAAAGGACTTAAAAAGAATCGCAAAAAAGTCCAAGTAGTAGAAAAACAAAAGAGTATTTGCGCTTGGTGAGAAGGTTTGTAAATAGTAAAGTAAAATACAGAAAAACTATGAAAACGTGGTCATGTTTGCCGTTTGCGGGGAGAAAAAAAAGTCAATCTAAAACTCTCTATTGAAGAAATAAAAACAGTTATTGATGAGCAGGATATCGTTTATTAGTTAAATCCGCCAACGATATATTGGTCTATCATCAATGCTGTATTCTGATTGGATGAGCTGAGGCTATTTCCTACGCAAAAATTAGAGTAATTATTGAATACTGAATGCCAATAATATGATAGCTGACAACACTTCTATTGTGCGCTTAGTTCTCGTGTGTGCAGTGAGACAGTTTTTAGGCTCTCGCTAAATTCCAATTATTAATGATTTGAGAGCTAGCCCTAAAATATTTTAAAAGATGAGAGTATGTGGACCGCGTGGCACTAATGAAATAGTAGAAGATAATATAGGTAAGTTGTAGTGCTTAGGAACGAGGTTATTCCGGGCGAAAGCCCTTGGAATTAAATTCGGAAAAATTAATTTAAGACCGAATTTAATTCCAAGGGCTTTCCGGACCCACAACTGCATCCTCAGTTAATTTAAGACCGAATTTAATTCCAAGGGCTTTCGCCCGGAATAACCTCGTTCCCAAGCACTACAACTTACCTATATTATCTTCTACTAAAATATTTTAGGTGAGCCCTATTCTTGAAGTCCTCAAAGATATAGCCTTCAGAGCAGGCGTTCTTTTGATGGGTGTGAGGAAGAATCGGGGTTTTGGGGTTCCTGTTTCGACTACGTGCGGTCAATTCTCGTTCGTTCCAAATTTTGAAAGTTCCCCCAAACCCCCGGTTTTTCCCCAAACCTACAAGAACGCCTGCTTTGCAGGCTATCAAAGATAACCTTCAATATTACAATTACTAATAGATATCATTAAATCGTCTGATGTTTTTATTCTATTTCTGTTTTATAGCTTTGAACATGATAATTGCGATTTTGTAATTTGGCTCAACCCAACGTAATTCCAATAATTAGACCTCATTGTCTATTCGCCAATGAATTAAGCCCTCCAACTCCAGCCGTTGTTCAGCACAGCACACCTACGAGGCTTTTAAACAAACAAAGCGTAGATCGTTGAGTATCTAATAACACCTGCAATAGAATTGTGGCAGGATATCGATATTCAGTCACGAAATACGAGCAGAATATGCCTAGCAAAACAGTTCTCGTTTTGACAACATTTTACGGAGCACTATTACTCACTGCAGTATCTGCAAACGGTAAGTCATTTCAACAAAACTAGGAAAACTTAGTGAAACACAAACAAATAAAAAAAACGCCTTTTGATATGATGTCAATAATCAGAATTGAAAATAAATAATAGTAAAGAAAATAAAAAGAAGTAAATAATTTCAAAACAGTTCTAAATCTCCAAGATTTCGCTACTGATATATTAAGTACGATGCTTCAAATTAATTGTGAGTGTATGCTTCATTTCATTCGTCGGCGTTAGTTAGTTGATTTAACTTAGCTAATTTTACAGCAAAGATAGGGGATGGTATTGCGTCTTGAAGCGGAAAAAATAAAGTAAAAAATTGGTCAGGCATTTTTCTCAATCGAATCCTTTCCTGACCAAGAATTTTCATTCTTGTATTTCGTATATAAACGTTTATTTAACCATGTTAAAAAAAAAAAAAAAAAAAAAAAAATCATACGCCTTACAAATTTGATGACCCCGATGGAATTCGAATATAAAGACTACATGCGGTTAGTGACGTCTCTTGGCAGCATAAAACATGAAAAAACATGACAAACACCTCGTATCTTAAAATATCTTGATGGAAGGTGCTTTCTTGCTCTAAAAACACCTGTAAATGGTTACACCTTCGTCGTTGCTCGGCAGACCACGCATGAAATGGCGGTCCCATCTTATTTAGAAACTCAACAAGTTGATATGTTATGACGCGACCGTTGTTTCTAATGATTAATCATTTAAAGGGGTTTCTGGAGCTTTCTTCTCATATTTGCTGTAAAGCATGATGGGGTCCCTGTGGAATATTTATGCTAAAATACGTGACTCGTCTCTCCCTCCCTCCTTATCAGGTGGATGCAAAACAATTGCTTTCAATGAAAAGATTAAAGGCAAAGCTCTCAAAAACCACGTCTTCCAGACAAGAGAATCAGGTAGCCATCAATTCTGTAGGGTACTTTGTTACCTAGACAACCGTTGCCTGTCATATAACTACGGTACAAGTGTTAATGGAGACAAAGAAATGTGTGAGCTGAATGAATCTGATCATGTTATGCACGGCGAAGATTTGACAGACAGACTAGATACGGTATACTTTAGAGTAGAGGTAAGTATGTAAACGATTGTTAGCATTTGAATTCAGTCTGCATCAATAAGGCCCCGTCCACACGTATCCGGAAATTTTTGTATCCGCAAATTATTTTTTTTTGCGGATACGAAAATGTTTTCGTCCACACGCAGCGTTTTCGAATCGTTTTCACCGTCCACACGTATCCGTTTTCGTAAAATTTGCGGATACGGACACAAAAAATTGCGGATACGTGTGGACGGGGCCTAAATTCTGTTCATCATGTGTGAATTTTATTTCATTTGAAACTCTTTCCTAGTAAGGTGGGCTTTCGTTACACCACTATATTTGACACCCCTGAACTAGTTGTAAGGTGGTTTTGTCAGATGTAATGGTGAGATAGAATGTCATTTCATAAACCAGATTTATCCTTTGTCAAAATTAATTTTAATTTAGCAATTGTTTCACTACATACGTCAGAGTTTTATATCGCTTGATTTCACCGTTAAATGTACAAATAAGTCCACAAAAATCAAAATTTGGTATTTTGTAATAAAATTATACCTCTATTTCACGGATATGTGTTTTGCACTCTACTTGATCTTGTCGCAGAATGATTGTAACTGCCCGAAGAACAAAATATGTCGGTACAATTTTGTAGACAGCAGCCATTACTGTGAATGCAAGACGAATTCGGCGCCAGGGACCCAGTGTAACGTCAGTGAGTATATTCAACAATTATTCGACTGGGCGAATAATTGATTTGTATAATTTTAGAAAAACCCGCTTTTAGTATTACTTCCAATCAGGAAAACTTTGGAAAACTTCATACTCACCGCTCCAGTGGTAATTATTGTCTCAGAATCACCTATTCAAAAAATGTTGTCACTAGCTACCAGAAGCAGCTTTATATGCTTTGGTTTCCACCCTGTTGACTTGTGCGGTTGTTGTGTCTTTACCAGCTGAACCCTCAACTTGGTCCCCAATTGGATCTCCAACCGCATCGCTAACTAAAGTCTCGACTGTATCCACAACCGAATCGCAAACAATGACTGGATCCCCAGGCGGAACAACAACTGCATCCCCAGGCGGAAA